TTTTTTTTATTTTTTTTTTTTTTACAATATTACGAATATATTACGAATTTTTCTTATTTATTTTTGTTATTAAATTAATAATGAAAATTTTCGCGTTATTAAAAATATTTTTTTAATACGATCTTTTACAGAAAACAAATATATATTCGTAAAACATTTGTTCTACGTCTTATTAAATTTAAAATTGGCGCTATTCTATCATACGTATATCGTGAGATTGATTATTCATTCCTTTAAATTATTTTTAATTTCAATATAAATGAAATCAATTTTTAAAAGTGTTATAGGTGTCGGTATTATATTACATTTATAAATAACAATAATATTGCATTATAAAAGAAAAATATATAAAGCAAAAAAATATAAGTGAGAAATAACCACATATATCGTGCAGCGGCCATTTTGTTGGGAACACGCGCGCGCGGCTTGGCCACAAACGAAAAATAGTCTGAGTACAGTGTGCTACGAGTACGTACAATTTTTCTGGTGTGTGAATCGTTTACATTATTTTTTGTAAAAAATCGTCTTATAAACTTGAATAAAGTGACAATTAATATCGTGTTCGTCTTTCTTGAAAGGCGTCGCTGTCAAAGAAACGTGCAAACGCGTTTGATTGGTCGAAACAAAAAAATCCGCGAAGATACAGATTACATGAAATGCTACATAATGCGACGCAAATATACCAATATGTATAATGATTGGCTTAAACTATTTCATGATGTTCTTTCGAATGAAAAATACGAATGTATAAGTATCTGAATCGTGAACGTTCAACATGCGTATAATAGTAAGTAAATCAGAAGTAAGCATGTCGGTTTACTATAATGTATGACGCACAGGAATACATGCATGCACACATAAACGTACACTTCAAAGAGGTAGAGGTCACTAGCCTTACGTACCACGGGGTCGTGTTCTCATTTTGCTTCGGTATCGTGAAAACTTCTTTTAAGTATATTGCATATTGTCTTGATCAGATTGTTTCCGTGACCGTCAGCCATAATGTAAAAATAAGCGTACTCTTTGAAAGAAATAGAAAGAGAAAAAAAGACAAAGACAGAAAACAGGGTTGATTGACACGTCCCTGTGACTTTACTCTTCTAGTGTACAGTATTTTATGTGTCTTCTCGATTTATCTTTTTCTCTTTAATATTGGTTACATTGCACATGATTACATTACATTGTTCTTTTATTCTTGTGCTCTTTTGATTCACTATCGTAATCGAATTGTCAAAGAAAGATATAAGTGAGGTTATGAACGTGTCAGCCAATGTTATACTTCGATGGTGTCGTTAAATAACTTTCAAATCAAATAAATGTTACAATTTATTTTTAAAGTGCTTTTCATATTGTGAATATAAAGTGTATTTATTATTAGAAAGTGAAACGCAATATAACAAAAGGTAATTCATATATTTAAAGTAATTGTTATAACCTTTTGTTAAATATTATTATTGGTTGGCAAAACACGGTAAAAATATAATATATAAATAAACTACATCCCTTTTATATAAACTATGACATTTTAATGTAATTTATAATTTAATTATTCGTAAAATAGTCAATATTAAATTTTATTTCTGCAAATAGAAATGGTGATATAAAGTTTGAGACATCATTTACGCAGAAAATATAAAATTTCTTTAAACTTCAATTACTACAATTTTTACTACAATGTTATTACTTAATAGATAAAACTTTTGCATCATTTCAAATAATGAACAAAGATGATGAATAGAATATCGATATAATGTATATTGTAAATATATTGATATTGTGTTGTTATTATTATTATTATTATTATTATTATTATTTTGTTTGTAATATTATATTGTATAATATTAATAATATTTGCTATAATATTGTACGATTCTAACCTCAAACTTTTAGATAAATTCATATTAATGTAATCGCACTTACCGACCATCTGTCGATAAAAGAGATTATTAAGCAGTTATTCGTACGATACAAATGCTGTTTATTTATTGTATATTTATTAAATTATTGATTATAACATTAATATATTATATTTTATTTTGCAGAATAAAAATGAAACACACAAATGGATAATATATTGTTTGAAAGAAAAACTTTATAGTTTAACTTATCGATAATATTGTATGCTCATATGGTAACATGATAACAGTGAATTTAAAATACCTCAAAAATTCATTATTACTTACATATTTATATGTATGCAAATATTGCAAATGAATCTTTAGAATATATTGATGTAAAAATGGCAGAGAATAAAATAGAAGTTATAGATTTAATAAAAACAGATAAGAAAGAAGTATTAAATAATCCTTCCACATCTACAAAAAAAGTGGAAGATAACGAAAAGCAAGATATTTCTAATAAAAATAACTTGGAGACAAATAATTCTTCCGAAAAGAATTTAAATGTAGTTACTATTATTGATGTAAAAGAAGATGAATCAAATTTAAATTCAGAAGATTTTAACAAAACTGAAAATATTTCATCTCAAAATGAAAAACATAAAAAAGAAGATGTAACAATGAATATAAGACTAAAAAAAATCGACAATGATGAAAATTCTAAAGAAATAGAAAATTCATCTTCAAAAGTTAAAGATATTAAAAATATTTCAGAAGAGGAGGAAACATTGAATGAAATATTAAAAGTAGTACACGAAAATTTAAGTTCATCGGAGATTCGACAGCTTCCTGTGGAATCAAAAAATTTAAACCAAGAAAATAAAAGTGATAGTAGTGAAGATAATAAAGAAAAAACGGACAAAGAGAAAGAAAAAGAAAACGCGAAAGAAATTGTAAATGATAAAGCGAATATTGTCGTAATAAGTGAAATTGTATCATCTAGAAGAGATTCTGAAACAAAACAATCTATAGAGACTGTTGAACACATGGAAGTTGGAATTGTAGGACCTCCTACCACTGTTAGCGAGCTTATTAATGAAGAGGAATTAAGAGCAGAATCTGCATTATCGACTGATCAAAAAGTTCAGGATCATGTAGCAGAATGGGTACAGAATTCTGCTAAAGTTGAGGAATTGGTTGTAGAAGAAGATGAAACTCCTATTAATAATGCTTCACAAGAGAAGAAGAATGTAAGGGAGAAGAGGACCAGAAAAAAGAAAAATAACGATGTTCTTGCTTTACCTACTAGAAAATCTCAAAGGATTGTTAGCAACATCATCAAAAAAAGTATCAAATGGTGAGTAAAATTCTACTATTTTTTTATATTTGTTTAATTTATATTTTTGAGAATTATTAGTAAAAAAATTTTTATCATAGGAAATTTTTATTATTAATCGATATATGATATAAATTATTATTATATTATTATTATATTTTTTTAAATAGTAAATATAATAAGTATATGAAATATATAGATATATAAATTCGATATTTTCAATTAAATGAAACGATTCGAATAAACATAATTTTTTTTAATTAACTTATATACTAATTAAAAATATATTTTTCATATTATTTAAAACATATCATATTATTGAAAACATAGATTTAGAATATAATAAAGATTTATTTTAAATTTTAAAAATTTATAAAAATTTAAAAAATCGACGCGATTAATAAATATATTCAATACTTAGTAATTTTGTTTTAAAATATTAAAATTATTTTAGTAATAATTATTAAAAAAGATTAAAATACAATGTTTAATTGTATTACTTAGAAATATTATTGTTTACATTAATAACCTTGATTTGACTTTCGTATTCTATATATTCTTATTTTACCTCGAAACAACGAGAAAGCTCCATTTTACAATTAAAACGATAACGAGTTCTCCAAACGATTATTATCAGGAGCTAAAGATTGTTTTCCATTTCGAAACGAATGTTCTCATTACACGGACATCATTACAGTACACGTTATCAAATTCCATTGGACGTCGTCATGTCGATGTTGTCGGGTTTTGGATCGACATTCCGATTACAGAATCATTCGGTTATTTTGCTCGAATTCACAATTCAAAGATACAAAGAATTCACGGTTGTATATACGTGCGCATTTCGAAAGGTATACGTCGTAATGAAGAATTGAGACACCGCGTGTAAAATCGTCTTTGTAACGAGGTTGCGCCTTGTTACCGTGCACGTTCTCCAGCGTGGAGAACGGCCGCTCACTCTCCACCGACAAATTCGATCGGCGAAAAGAGCTTCTACATTCGTCGTTCTACTTCCTTTTTTCGCCGTAATCGCCGATGCTATCCAAGATTGGCGTTATCGGCCGATAAAGTCGGGATAAGAGGAACATTGACGAGCGCGCAAACTCGCGCTAATATGTGGAATCAGAGAAGTGGGAGAGAGAAGGAAAATGAATATAGGGAGAGAAAAATATTGACCGTAGAACGATAAGCAACACGGTAGCGTCGATAACTGGATGACTATTTCTATTAATCTTCTTCTCTCTCTTCTCGTCGTATAAAATGAAAATCTATTTTCTTCCTTTTTTATTTTTAATTTCATTGGCAATTTATTTTTTCGTTCCC